ATTTGAAAACGTTTAGCAGGGAGGTGTTAGTTTTTGCGCCCCCCTCAAAAAAAAAAAAAAAAAAAAAACAGCTAAAACCAGCCTAAGATGGTTGGCTGGTCTTAGTTGGTTTAAGCTGGTTTTAGCTGGTCTCCTGGGGTTTTGTGTCGCTGGATGGCATGTTAAGCTTCATTGGCGGTTAAGAAATATACAAACTGAGGGTATGTTTACACAACAACGTTGTACTAAACGTTTACGTTTTTCCTTTGGATTTTTGAAAAGTTTCGCGTGTACGACAACGTTGTCAAAACGATCTCTGTTTACACTGATCTACGGCTAGTAGTTGGCGATCACGTCACTTTGTAAAGAAACGCTACATGTTTCTGCGCACAAACCTATAGACTAAACATGTAAAATGCATGCGAATGACGTCACCGTTTTCAAAAATTCGCATTTTTGGCATTCACACGGAGACCATAGCGGTATCATTTTCAAAGATTTGCAGAAACTCGTTTTCAAAGGATTGCATTCTCGGGCCCCTAAAATGCTGCTGTCATGTAAATGAACAGTCAAAACACCTTGAAAGTTTACCGTTTAGTTGAAAATGGTGTTGTGTAAACACCCCCTTACTACCTTTTGTCTAAAATGTACATTATTTGATATTACTTATTTATAGAACAGTGTAAAAGCAGTATCACATTCATAATCCACATTATTTGCGGCCACATTTACCATTTCCAAATTATCTGGAATTTTGCATGATTATATGTGTATATAACAATTAAAAAAAACTATATTAAAATAATTATTGAAAATGGTTTAATGTTGGCGTCGATGGCCTTATGGTCGTCCCGAGTTCGAATCCCAGCTCCAGGACCTTTCCCCATCCCACCCCCCATCTCTCTCCTACTTACTTGCTCTGATCTGTCCTATCATTACAAAAAAAAGTCACAAATGGCAAAAATAAATCTTAAAAAAAAGAAAACCGTTTAATGAAATTGTTAAATAAAATACGAAAAATAATTTAGTCTATAAATCTAACATTTAATAATAATACTTTTAATATTATATGTATGTATACCACCTTTATTTGACCCTCTAACTCTAACACTTTCTATTCTATTTTAATTCTACTTTATCTATATTTATCTTTTCAAATGTTTTATTCTTTATTTAAAAAAAAAAAAAAACTAGCTTTCTATTTTTTCTATTCTACTTGTTTTTCTTTGTTTGTTTGTGTGTGTGTGTGTGTGTGTATAATATGTATGTATGTATACAGTGGTGTGAAAAGGTTTTTCCCCCCTTCCTGTTTTGTTTTATTTTTTGCATATTTGTCACACTTAAAAGATTCAGATCATCAAACAAATTTATATACGCACACACACACACACATATATATATAATCTATTAGAACAAAAAAACACAATTTTATATCATGTTTTAATAGTAATTTATATAGAATTTTGTGTATCCATTTAAACATTTTGTTACTATTAGTCTACTATAATGTTATTCATAATCTACAAATGTTCTTTACGTAATGTTTTATCATAACAATTCAATAATTATATTTATAATCATTTCTAATATATAATATTGTTTATAATATAATATAACCTTCAGCTCTAACTGAATTACAGTAGAATTAACTCTTATCTTCGAAATAGGCATTAATAAACGAGCAGTATTATAACCTTACAATTATACTTTCCACCAAATAACGGAGATGTTTTCCTGAGTGCGAGCGCGTGCGGGTCATAATGTAATCACAGATGCTGTATCGAGTGTCTGTCGTGTTGTGCAGCTGAATGCGTGTCAGTGATGAGATTAATCACGCATATCCAGTGCCATCCATCTCTCGCCCAAAGAAGGCGTGTCGCTTCCCGGTCAGTAGCATCATCCGGCGGCTCTTTGTCCCGCTGCTGTGTGAGTGTGTGTGTGTGTGTGTGTGTGTTGTGTTCAGTACCGGGCAGAGCTGCTCGAGTCATGGCGGCAGCGCCTGCGAATCCTCGCACCGGGAGCACGAGAGCGCAGCTGCCGCCCTGTTATTACGAGGGACACCTGGAGAAAAGAGGAGCGAAAGAGAAGGTAAGCGAACATTATGACATGTCAAACACTTGATCTGATTATATCAATACGCATGGCATATGCCGCACGCGCATATTGTGTGGATATGGGCGAGGTTTGTATGGATCAGCTGTCTGAATATTATTTCGTTTGCCAAGTGGCCACTCAAATATTAGTTGTGCATTTCTTCTGTAACGTTAATGGATGAATGAGCCGGCGTTTCTCTGTGCCATGCGTTATGCCGCTGTCTGACAGCTCTTTAAATGCCATAACTCATATGTGAGCTCTTATTATCTTGTCTGTCGGTGCTTTAAATTCTCAGCTGCTCTGGTAGTGGACACACCTTAATGCAGACCACATGCAGTCCGAAGTGTGTGATTAATATGATCATCACGTGTTTTAATCATCAGGCATTCATTGAAAGACGCATCTCTTGCTGCAGTGCATGTATCAGGTTACATTTAGAAGCGAGCTCGCTGTTATCTGCTCTTAGTAGTGCATGACTTTTCCCAAAGTGCACATTTGCGCATTCTGTTTTCATGTAACGTGGAGACACTTCGAACTTATTAACCTGGTTAATAAATACTGCCGTTTCGCATGCACATTTTAGTAAATTAAGTTCATACTTTGCAAAATACGGGTTTAATTTCATTGACTTATATCATCCATAAAAGATATGCTTTCTAGATATTACTGGACTATATTTTATTATTATATTCTTTATGTAATATCTATATTATTTTTTGGTGTCACTGCATTTATTTATATATATATATAAACATACATACACACAATATGTATGCATAATAGATCATATTTATACATAAGTATATAAACACACACACACACACACACTCACTATAAAACGCAATATGCAATAATATTTACTAATCAATACAGTGTGCAGGCAAATGTTTTATGTATTACTTAATCTTTGTGAGTAATGAATAAAATGTAATCTTCCCTTTAAGTGGCCAAATTAATAGTTCTATTATATTTTCTATTTTTATATATAATATAGTATACACTTTAGAGAGTATGTACAACTCTAAATATGCAATAGCTATTAAACTATGCAATGTACAGACAAATATAATATTTTAATTCAATACTAAAGAAAAAATGTTGTTGACAAAGCGCCACTTGCACAAATTAATCCCAGATTGCGTATTCAGGAGGGAATATTGAGAGGGGTTCAGGTGCACCGTGTGTGATGGGGGTGGGTCTCAGATTTAGGACAGCTGTGCTCCGGGTCGGGGTGTGTGTGTGTGTGTGTGTGCGCCATGCCCCGGGGAGCCATGAGCTGCCACCGAGATCAGGATTGAGCCAGACAGAGCAGAGAATTGCGAATCCTCGCACCGGGAGCACGAGAGCGCAGCTGCCGCCCTGTTATTACGAGGGACACCTGGAGAAAAGAGGAGCGAAAGAGAAGGTAAGCGGACATTATGACATGTCAAACACTTGATCTGATTATATCAATACGCATGGCATATGCCGCACGCGCATATTGTGTGGATATGGGCGAGGTTTGCATGGATCAGCTGTCTGAATATTATTTCGTTTGCCAAGTGGCCACTCAAATATTAGTTGTGCGTTTCTTCTGTAACGTTAATGGATGAATGAGCCGGCGTTTCTCTGTGCCATGTGTTATGCCGCTGTCTGACAGCTCTTTAAATGCCATAACTCATATGTGAGCTCTTATTATCTTGTCTGTCGGTGCTTTAAATTCTCAGCTGCTCTGGTAGTGGACACACCTTAATGCAGACCACATGCAGTCCGAAGTGTGTGATTAATATGATCATCACGTGTTTTAATCATCAGGCATTCATTGAAAGACGCATCTCTTGCTGCAGTGCATGTATCAGGTTACATTTAGAAGCGAGCTCGCTGTTATCTGCTCTTAGTAGTGCATGACTTTTCCCAAAGTGCACATTTGCGCATTCTGTTTTCATGTAACGTGGAGACACTTCGAACTTATTAACCTGGTTAATAAATACTGCCGTTTCGCATGCACATTTTAGTAAATTAAGTTCATACTTTGCAAAATACGGGTTTAATTTCATTGACTTATATCATCCATAAAAGATATGCTTTCTAGATATTACTGGACTATATTTTATTATTATATTCTTTATGTAATATCTATATTATTTTTTGGTGTCACTGCATTTATTTATATATATATATAAACATACATACACACAATATGTATGCATAATAGATCATATTTATACATAAGTATATAAACACACACACACACACACACTCACTATAAAACGCAATATGCAATAATATTTACTAATCAATACAGTGTGCAGGCAAATGTTTTATGTATTACTTAATCTTTGTGAGTAATGAATAAAATGTAATCTTCCCTTTAAGTGGCCAAATTAATAGTTCTATTATATTTTCTATTTTTATATATAATATAGTATACACTTTAGAGAGTATGTACAACTCTAAATATGCAATAGCTATTAAACTATGCAATGTACAGACAAATATAATATTTTAATTCAATACTAAAGAAAAAATGTTGTTGACAAAGCGCCACTTGCACAAATTAATCCCAGATTGCGTATTCAGGAGGGAATATTGAATTATACATAAGTATATAAACACACACACACACACACTATAAAACGCAATATGCAATAATATTTACTAATCAATACAGTGTGCAGGCACATGTTTTATGTATTACTTAATCTTTGTGAGTAATGAATAAAATGTAATCTTCCCTTTAAGTGGCCAAATTAATAGTTCTATTATATTTTCTATTTTTATATATAATATAGTATACACTTTAGAGAGTATGTACAACTCTAAATATGCAATAGCTATTAAACTATGCAATGTACAGACAAATATAATATTTTAATTCAATACTAAAGAAAAAATGTTGTTGACAAAGCGCCACTTGCACAAATTAATCCCAGATTGCGTATTCAGGAGGGAATATTGAGAGGGGTTCAGGTGCACCGTGTGTGATGGGGGTGGGTCTCAGATTTAGGACAGCTGTGCTCCGGGTCGGGGTGTGTGTGTGTGTGTGTGTGCGCCATGCCCCGGGGAGCCATGAGCTGCCACCGAGATCAGGATTGAGCCAGACAGAGCAGAGAATTACAGACAGAAGAGCAGTAATCTATGCAGAGATGTCTGCCATTTGCTGCGCTGTCAGAGAATTAGCATGTCAAAATTATGTGTTGGAGCCCTGAACACGCATTTAACCATCCTGACTTCAGAAAGAGAAGATTTATTGTCACTTTCATGTCTTTATGTAGCCCAATAATGTCCAACTATAATGCAAACTGAGTTATAACATGCACATTTTATATTCATATTTACTCAAAGACCAGATATGGAAATTTTGCTTTTGTTCTCTTTGGATGCAGGTAGCTCGGCGTTTATGGACCTGTTTATGTGGAAACACGCTGTACTTCTTCAACAGCCCTAAGGACACAAATGTAAGTGATTATATACAGGGACTAATCCTCTATCAGTCTGTGGAGCATTAGCATCTAGATCTAGAAGGACATTCTTCTACAAATCCCCTTCAAGTCTGAAGTCCATCGTAACCTTGTCGTCTCATTAAGCGCATTCAGCCATGAGAGAGCAGATGGCAAAGAGGAGTTTTATCAGACTCTACTTGATTATTGTGGTTTCAGTATTGATTTTCATTCTGAACCCATGGAGATAGCAGTTTCAACCTCTAGAACCTCAGCTGCGGATTGGTAGCTTTATCTAGAAGTAGTAACATGCAAAGTTTGCTGGAAAATCACACTGTGTGGGAGCTTACTATTTACATAGATGTTCACGGTATGTTATCACTTATAAAGTGTTTATTCTGGTGTGTTATTCGGAGTTGATTTAAAAAAAATATCAATCAAAATAATGCTTTTATCATTTACTCACCTTGATGCCGTTCCAAACCTGGATTATCTTTCTTCCGGGAAACACAAAATGAGATCTTAGGCAAAATGTCCAAGCTACTGTTTTCCACTGAACAATAACAAAAAATGTGGGTTATGTGATTTTCTTGTATTTATATGCATTTCTAAATTTTACAACCAGAAAAAAGTATTAACCATGTGAATTGTGGAAAACAAATGTTTTCAATTATATTTCAGATAATTTCCTTCAAAGCAAAAGGTTTTATAGTTTAACATGAAAGCAAAGAAATTAAGCCAGCCATAAATATTATTATTGTAATTTTATTGTGATCTGTATTAATAATAATAATTGTATTAAACAGTTTTTTATTTGTAAAAAACTTTGTATTTTTGTACATTTTTATTTAATATATATTATAATCTATTCTATTGTTTTTTTATTTAAATAATAAAAATATATTTTATTATTATTATTAATAATAATATTAATAATAATATAATATTATTCAAATTTGATTATTTATAAATATTTTTAAATATGTATTAATATAACTTATTTTATTATTTTACTTACTTTATTAATTAAAGGAAAAGACTTTAGAAATTCTGCCCAAAATCTCTTTTTTGTGTGTGTTTCACAAAATTCAATCAGGATTGGAAAGGCGTTTTTAGGTAAACTGTTCCTTTAAATGTTGTTCGGCATGTATGTGTGTTTTCTGATTAGCATGTAGAGAAGCTGGATCTGAGTGGGTTTGTGTCTTTGATCGATGACCCAAGTCGTGATAAGAATCTGGAGGCAGCCAGACTGAACCTCCGCATGAAGGATGGAGAAATCAAACTCACTGTGAGTATCAGATGTCTGTCAGTATCCCCTCATGCCCTTCATCTCAGCCTCACACCCACAGACCGTTCACAGACCCTCTGATGTGGATCGCACACTAAATAGCAAGAGCTTTCTTGAACCGATAAGCTCCAGTTTGTATGCTTGGTCAGTCACACTCCTAATGCACATCTCAACCTTCACGCACTCCTGTATGAGCAACTGCAGGTCTTTCAGTCTTCACAAACTTCTTCAAATGCAATATAGTTTCGCTTTCACAGGCCATTATTTTACTCCTGTTTATTTTTACCACATCTGATGCCAGTAGTAAGAGTTCCAGACAGCTCCAGGTCATATTATGGTCAGGTCAAGACTCAACAGTGTTGAATGTGCTGTAGACTTTGCTCAGGAAACCCTCTGCGTTCAGAATCAGGGCCGATCAGAGGTCTGCTAGAGAGATTGTATAGAGATTACCTTCACAAAGAGGTACAAAAACACTGTACTTCGATACTTCCTCTTACAAACCCCATGAGCAGCCCTTCCATACCTCAAAGAAATACATAAATAACTCTTCTGTGAGAATTTAATTCACAAAGACTAATGCACTTACAACTGCAAAAACAAATGTTTACACTACCATTCAAAAGGTTGGGGTCGGAAAGAAGTTTTTGAAAGAAGTCCAAACAAGGCTGCATTTATTTGATCAAAAATGCAGTATAATTACAATTTCAAATCACCATTTTCTATTTAAATTAGTGCTGCCAAACGATTAATCGTGATTAATCGCGTCCAAAATAAAAGTTTTTGTTTACGTAATATATGTATGTGTACTGTTTATTTATTTTGTGTATATATAAATACACACACATACAGAATATATTTTTAAAAATATTTACGTGTATATACATTATATATTTATATTATATATATATATATATATATATATATTTAATATATAAACATAACATATTTTTCTTAAATATATACATGCATTTGTATTTATATATACATAATAAATATACACAGTATACACGCACATTATCTAAACCAAAACTTTTATTTTGGATGCGATTAATCGTTTGACAGCACTAATATAAATATATTTTAAAATGTAATTTATTCCTGTGATGCAAAGCTGAATTTTCAGGATCATTACTCCATTCTTCAGTGTCACATGATCCTTCAGAAATCATTCTAATATGCCGATTTGCTGCTCAAAATTTTTTTATTTTTATCAGTGTTGGAAACGGTTATGCTGCTTAATATTTTTGTGGAATTCGTGATGCATTTTTTCAGGATACTTGGTTGAATAGAAAGTTCAAAAGAACAGCATTTATTTGAAAATCGAAATCTTTTGTAACATTGTAAGTTCTTTACTGTCACTTCTGATCAATTTAATGCATCCTTGCTGAATAAAAGCATTGATTGAATCGATAAATGTAAATAGAGATCTAATTGTCTGTGAGATACTATGTGTCTCTAATGTAATGCAGTAGTGTAAGGAAATATTGCATTGAATTTTTAGTTATTAATAATATAATTAACGTCAGTGTCTCTCTTTCTTCTCAGGCACCGAATCTGGAGGCGCGTGAGCTGTGGAAAGGTTTTCTTTACTCGGTCGTAGATGTAAGTTCAATCAAATGAGGAAATGTTTTTAACAGAAGTTGACACATTCTTTAGTCTCACAGATGAGTTTTTGCCTCACAGTAAAAAGTGTGTAAATGTTTACTTAGTGCATTATGTTATTGTACCCTAGAAACTCTAGGTCAAGTTCTGTATGTTAGTGAACACTTAACAGCTTCTCCTGCAGAACAATGAATTCCAGTCAGGCTTGTTCTATATACCGTCTTGAATAATATTGTTGTTCTGAGTTTGTTAATGAGAGCTGAGACCTTTGAACTGCAGAGTTTGTGTTTTATGACCATGTTCAATTAATGCAGCAGATACCTTTGTTTCTTTTGGTTTAGGAAAGATTTGGTCGACTGTTATGGTTTGTTTTGTCGCTGATATGTTTATCTAGAGAGCAAGGTAGCTGATATTATTTTGATATGCACTACTGGTCAAAAGTTTGGCATCAGTAGGTTTTTTTGTTGTTGTTAGTAAAAGTAAATTATTTTATTTCACAAAAACACATTAAATCAAGACATTTATCTTACAAGACATTTCAAAATATCTTGGAAAGAATCTTTGGGGAAAAAAAGAGAATATATATATATATATATATATATATATATATATATATATATATATATATATATACTATATATGTGTGTGTGTGTGTGTGTGTGTGTGTGTGTGTGTTCAAGAACATGAAGCAGGCAACCGTTTGATAAACATTGATAATAATAAGAAATATTTCGTCTGCATATTAGAATGGTTTCTGAAGGATCATATGACACTGAAGACTGGAGTAATGATGCTGAAAATTCAGCTTTGATCACAGGAATAAATTACATTTTAAAATATATTACAATAGAAAACAGATTTTAAATAATAATAATGTTTTGCAATATTGCTGTTTTTAATGTATTTTTGCAAATAAATGCAGTCTTGGTGAGCATAAGGGACTTTCAGGAACATTCAAAAAAATCACTTTAGTGTATATCCAAAAATTACAATTCTGAAAATTGTATGACATTTTATTGCTTACATAATATTAACAGAATATTTACTTAAATATATCCACATGACACTAGTTGCACCATTTATTGACACTTCTGTCGGTAGAGTTTGCAATTGACACTAGATCATTTTTTTTAATCAGCTGAAATAAATCAAATATCGATTGTCTTGATATATTGTTGTTTTACTCTGTTTTGATCCTTGTCATATGAAGTGTTTAATAATTCAATTACTTTATATGGATGCTTTTTGGGACTAGAAATAACCATTGAAATGCAATCAAGTGAATGTAACAAACGCTTTTTGGGAAAACAAGAAGTGGGATTATTTTTAGACTATTGTAGACTTTGTTAAATCTTATATTGTTGACAATATTGTGGATGTTTTTCAGATTTCTCAAGAAATTTAATTTTTAACTTTTGTTATCAATTTTATTATTAAATCAGTTTATGTTGGACTTTAGATGTGTAATAAAGTAAATTTTCCGGTCATCATAAAACATGAGCAGGTGTTATAAAAACTATATATCACCATCATATCCACTGGCTGTAGTTGAACACCACCAAAACTCCTCCCACACACTTCTGTTTTCATAGATAAAGAGATCAGAGTCCCCGTGCAGAAAGCATCACTGTGGACGGTATATTTAACTGTGCAAATCAGAAAGACACATGCTATGCGTTTGATTCCAGCTGGCTGTGCCCACGACTCTCACCCTCCTGCCCGGGCAGCTGCACATGCTGAAGGAAGTCGTGGAGAAAGAAAAACTTTCAGGAACATTCAAAAAAATCACTTTAGTGTATATCCAAAAATTACAATTCTGAAAATTGTATGACATTTTATTGCTTACATAATATTAACAGAATATTTACTTAAATATATCCACATGACACTAGTTGCAACATTTATTGACACTTCTGTCGGTAGAGTTTGCAATTGACACTAGATCGTTTTTTTTAATCAGCTGAAATAAATCAAATATCGATTGCCTTGATATATTGTTGTTTTACTCTGTTTTGATCCTTGTCATATGAAGTGTTTAATAATTCAATTACTTTATATGGATGCTTTTTGAGACTAGAAATAACCATTGAAATGCAATCAAGTGAATGTAACAAACGCTTTTTGGGAAAACAAGAAGTGGGATTATTTTTAGACTATTGTAGACTTTGTTAAATCTTATATTGTTGACAATATTGTGGATGTTTTTCAGATTTCTCAAGAAATTTAATTTTTAACTTTTGTTATCAATTTTATTATTAAATCAGTTTATGTTGGACTTTAGATGTGTAATAAAGTAAATTTTCCGGTCATCATAAAACATGAGCAGGTGTTATAAAAACTATATATCACCATCATATCCACTGGCTGTAGTTGAACACCACCAAAACTCCTCCCACACACTTCTGTTTTCATAGATAAAGAGATCAGAGTCCCCGTGCAGAAAGCATCACTGTGGACGGTATATTTAACTGTGCAAATCAGAAAGACACATGCTATGCATTTGATTCCAGCTGGCTGTGCCCACGACTCTCACCCTCCTGCCCGGGCAGCTGCACATGCTGAAGGAAGTCGTGGAGAAAGAAAAAATGCGTCGAAAGGCACGAGCGTCTTCCAGAGCCCCCTCGTCCCCCCTCTCGCTCCCGCTGGTGGGGGAAATACCTGCGTGAGTATCTGTTTATGTGTTTGTGGGAGACATTCTTGAGCGTCTGAGTGTTTATACATAGCTAAAGCATCACTTTTAGGAGTTGGGCGTTTACTTTTCTAAAGGAGTTCTGCCTACCTGATAAAGCACATGAAAAATGTCATGGATTTACTCTGCGTCCTGCGCAGCAATAAAAATAATCAATAAAAACAGTCTCTTGAATGCCAATCTAATTTCATATGTCAGTTCGCAGAACTACAAAATGGAGCCAAACTCTTAATATATGTGATGTTTTAGAGATTATACAGTTTTGTTTTTTTTATCTTTATTTGGATTTTTTTCGAAGGTGTATGCTTTATGAGGTATGTGGTTGATGTGTTATTTATCATTTCTCGTCTATTGACAGACTCTATTTGCTACTGTTGTCATGTTTTGTCATGTACTTGTTAAAATGACACTCCTCACTAAGATTTCACTTCTCATTACTCAATAAAAAATAGTGTTCAGCTGGGATTAGGTCATTTATTTAATTTTTTATCCTAGTTGTTTTTAGGCTTTCTTTACCAAAATCTACTTTTATTGTGTTTGTGGGAGACATTCTTGAGACTATATGTGTCATTGGGAAGTCCCACGCTAATGGTTAGAGAGTCGGACTCAATGGTAACCCAATGGTTGTGGGTTCGAGTCTTGTACTGGCAAGGATTGTAGGTGGGGGGAGTGAATGTACAGCGCTCTCTCCCACCTTCAATACCACGACTGAGGTGCCCTTGAGCAAGGCACCGAACCCCCAACTGCTCCCCGGGCGCCGCAGCATAAATGGCTACCCACTGCTCCGGATGTGTGTTCACGGTGTGTGTGTGTTCACTTTGGATGGGTTAAATGCAGAGCACTAATTCAGAATATGGGTCACCATACTTGGCCACATGTCACTTCACTCACTCACTCACTCAATCACTATATGCTTAACTGGTGTATAATCTCATTCTTAGTGGATGCTTGAGACAAATGTTCATGTAGTTGTGCTTCTGTCTGTTATTTGGCAGGTGTTTCAGGCCTGTGTCTCGTACTGAAGCTGAGGTACTGTTAGAAAGACATCCAGACTGCGGGAACATGCTGCTCAGACCAGGCCGGGACGGATCTTCACTCGCCGTCACAACACGACAAGACCTGAATGGGTAAAAACACTGAAACATCTCTCTCTCTTAGTATGATTTATCATTGAGAACACTACCAAAAAATACACTTTAGCTCTGTTCTAAAACCTAGTAAGCTGCCTTGCTGTCTACATAGACAGCTGACTTCTAAAACAGCATCCAAAACCAAATTGAACCTCGTTGTTTTCATTGAACCTCATGACTAATTAGACGCTTGCAGAAGATGGCAACTCTGCACACTATATAAAATAGTGCTCATGAAATGAGACCAATAGAGCATAAAATATGCAAAGCAGGCTCCGATATTAGTGGAAAACAATTCTCTGTATTTCTCACTACTAAATGAAATTTAATTATAGTTGACTTTTTTTTGTTGTTCGTTTGACTGATCTGGCATCTTTAATTTTCTTCCACTGGGCTTTGTGCAATTAATTCTTAAGACTAATTCATAATGAAATCATAAGTGCCCATTGTGACATCAAATCACTGGATTTTATGTCATCATAAAGGCATGATGTATAAATGGGCATTATAACTGAATTTTCCCTGGGTTTATACATTGACATCATCACTGGATGTTATGATGTCATATAAGTCTATCATGACAATCAGTGGATTTCAAAGTGAACTGGGTTTATACTTTCACTGGATTAATTCACTATGATGTCTTTACTGGATCAGTGCAGTACTTTAGTATTATTTTTGAATCAGCTTTTATTATGACATATTATTATTTGAATCTTAGTTTAGATATTTTTTGTGTGCTTTTGTCTTTTATTTATTTTATATTTAGTCATTTAAGTACAAATTAAACATTTTATTTCTGATAATAGCCAGGGCGACATGTCTCAGTTCTATTTCTATTTTATTTTAGCTTTATTTCAACTAGCGAATACCATTTTTAATCGTTTTAGTTTCAATTGACAGTAACAGTAGTACTGCACTGGATGTCAGTACACATCAGAATTGAGTCATTGTGTTGGTTTCTTTATATGTTAATATAACGCTCTCTCTTTTTGTGTTTCAGATCAGTGTTCAGGCATTACAGAGTGACACAGAAGCAGCAGGGTGGTTACATTATCGATGTGGAAAACCCAGTATGTGAAAATGACTTTCTAAATAAAGAGAATCTATGCGAAAACACCAACCTTAGGAAAATCTCACTCCCCATTTTATTGTAATTTTATTTTTTTTGTCTCTTCCTGCAGATCCCCTGTCCCACACTGCATGATGTCATCAATGCACTGGTGGAGAAAACCGCCGGGACTCTTCAGCCCTTTATATTAGAAGAGCCTTATGAGGAGAACATCAGTATGTCAAAAACACGTTCATACACAAATATACTCACAATCTGTACATCTACATTAAGTCTGACCATAAATGAAGACATTCTTAATTCAGCATCTAAATGTATTTTTTCTGTAGCGTTTGTGTCGTCCAATGATGAGAATGGAGAGCGAACCCTGCACTGTGCTCCCACTGGACCTCTTTCTCGAGCTCCATCACTGCCACCTAAACAAGGTACCATACATCTCATGCTCCACACAACTATATCTGCTGCCATTTGTTCATATATTGAGAGTTAAATGGCAGAAAATATGTCAGCATTGCTGCAGGTTCGTATGATAGTGTAGTCTAGTGGTTAAAATGGTACTAGAAAAGAGCTGCTGACTAAAAGGTTGAAGGTTCAAACCCCACAGGTTTTTATGCTTTTTTTGCACAAATATAATGAATAGTCTATTATGCCAGTTTCAATGCTCAAGCCAAACAACATGCAGGAGCAGTTGCACTTGGATGCTGTAGTGGCTCTTGTTGCAAAAGTATGAAACAAGTCTCAATCTGTGTGTTTTAGCAATTTGTGGCGGAATTGCATAACACTGAGAAAATGCTGGCTGTGTGTGAACATCAGATGTAGGGCTGCACACTATGTCGATGTGAACTAGTGAATGCTTTTATCCAGGTCAATATACAGTACAGGCTATGTTCACCCCAGATTCTCTAGACTGAGTGAGTTTGAATGTGTTTGTTCAGTAGGTACAGACAGATGGTCACTGCGGTCACAGACGAGATCTCCCAGTTCCTCACCAAGATCCTTTTCCCCGTCTGGCTCTCCGTCCAACTCCATGAGAAGGCTGGTTCTGTCTCCCTCACCGCTCTCTCAGAGTAAGACCCCAGGGCTCCAGCTCCAAAACTATTTATAAAATTTCAACTTGCTAACATTTTTTGGGGGATCTGATTTTTATAGTTTTTGAACATACGGACTTAAACAGTTGATATCACCATAGTACCAAAAAACAATATCAATTACATGAAATAATATTAGAAGGAAAATCAGTATTTAATAATATAATTATAACAATTATTATTTACATATTTTAATATTTAAGTGTACACCACCACTGATTTGGGAATAATTTTTTTTTTATTCAGCAAGGATACATTAAATTGATCAAAAGTGACAGTAAAGACATTTCATAATATTACAAAAGATTTCAAATAAATAGTTCTTTTGAACTGTTCATGAAAGAATTGTGAACATTTTAATCACAGTTTCCACAAAAATATTAAGCATAAACTTTGTTTTCAAAATGTGATAATAACAAGAAATGTTTCTTGAGCAGCAAATCAATGTATTAGAATGATTTCTGAAGGATCATGTGACACTGAAGGCTGTAATGATACTGAAAATCATGCATTACAGAAATAAATTACATTTGAAAACATTCAAATAGAACACTTTTATTTTAAAATGTAATAATATTTCATAATATTACTGTTTTGACCTTTTTTTTTATCAAGTAAGTGCATTGGTAAGAGCGTTGGTAAGTAGAAGACACTTCTTTTGAAAAGCATTTATTAAATCTTACATAAACTTTTCAACAGTATTTTTTTTTTTCCCCCATGTGCAGGGGTGTCTCACAGACCCCAGACATACTGAAAGTAAAATCAATATTATCAGAACACGAGGGTGAAAATATGACCGTATATTTAAAATATGACTAAAATGTTTTCTTCCCATCAGGCCTCACAGACGAGCTCAAACAGAAGCTGGAGAAGAGACGGACTAGTCAAGAGTGATTTCCTCCTCGTTTCTGCCCACTCTTCGTCGTCGTCTCATTCTTCCAGTGCCTTCCAATAAAGACTGATGTCCTGTTGAACGGACAAGGACTCCCTGTAATCGACATTCTTCCCTTGGTGTGACTGAAACAATGCCACTTTATTTGGCTCTATTAAGAACACGAGAGCAGAGGTCCACCAGCTTATCCTGCCTCATAATAATGCCGTCGCGGAATGATGCCATTTCTGTTGAGACTATTGAAATTTAAATGGGAAAAATCTGAGCCAAGATTCTCTATACCTCTTACTCTCTCTATTCTATTAATTAGACCTTAACTCAGGTTTCTACTGTCAAACCATGAGTCGAGAGGACATAGGACATTTCCACACATTTAAGAAAGAAGCACATCAAACTCGTCTTAAAGTGAAGGACTTGTATTACTGGTTTTAATCAAACACTAACTGTGAACTGGAGAGAAGTGATCTAAATGCTCAGATGAATGTGAATCTGGTATGGTTCGAGGTAGGGTCCAAAATTAACACTCGCCAAGCACCAAATGTGCATATAAATCGGGTTAATAAAAAGCAAAAACATTTTGCAGATGCTTTTATCCAAAGTGACTTTGATTGTATTTGAATCAGTGCTCTCTGAGATTTGAACCCATGACCTTGGCATTGCTAGTGCAATGCTCTGCTGTTTGATCTGCAAATAAAAATGCTAACTTTATTAGGAATGTGAAATTAATATTGATGATGATTTCAATTGAATTGTAAGTCTGACTCTCACTGCTGAAAGTGGCATGCTGTAAAAAAAAAAAAAAAAAAAAAAAAAAGCTGCTATAAAAAGCTCCTAAAATCAGCATAATGGTCAAAACCAATCTAAAACCAGCTATTATGAGGCTATAAGACTAGCTCAAGTGATTCAGCCATCTTAGGCTGGTTTCAGCTGTTTGTTTGTTTTTTCAGACTGTCGTGACTGGATCAAATATATTTTTCCCTCAAAGAATATGAAGCAGTTTATGGCCACTAGGAATTTTTTGTGGCCATAAACTGAGAGGTGTGGCAAAAGTTAATTTTTGACCCTGCGACCCTAGTGTCTCAGTAGATATGTTATGTTTTAAAATGTGTATGATGCTTTTGGACACATTTGCAGGATAAACTTCCAAGCTTATGAAGCAGGTTTTGCTAAAATGATATTTGAATATAAAGGACAATTCAGCCTTCTAGAGGTGAGTTTTTCTCAGATTTGTAAGCGTTTGTTGATAGGTTGTGAGACGGTTGCATTTGTGTTCCTGATCGACCAACGGTCATTATCGGTTTTATGAACATGCATGGTGCTACTGTGACTTTGTAGGTATGTTTTCATGTGATGTTAAAATCATTTCTTGTTATTTATAACTGATATTTATGGGAATTAAAGGGAAGGTTTTGTAGAATTCACCCGCTGTACTAGTTTTACATGTTGTTTGTCCGCGGCACTATTTTCATGATAACAGCTCATTGCCGCCATCTTGCGACTGAATCGTTACTAACAGTAAAACACGGAGATCTTCAGTATATATTTTGTGGTGAGTATAAACCTTTTGATTACACTAGAATTCCAGGAGAGTGTAGTAGTTCAAGTAAGAAGAAGAAAATATTTGACAAAAGAAGGGACTCGTTTTTGCGGGGACGAGTTAAGTGGACTGTTTCAGAGAAAGCTTAGCTCATATAACTTACAAGTAAAACATAAAATACCTTTAACTATTTAATAATCTATTAGGTAAATATCCGGTTATTTGACCAAATAAATATATATGACAAGGGGTTTATCACAAAATAAATCCCTTCAAGAGAGGCGAATTGAAGGGATTTATATTGACCACAAGGGGCGTCAGTAACCAGTGTTACCAACTAATTTTCAGGGGAAGTAACTTGCTAAAGGAAGGTCGATTTGTTGCTAGAAGTTGCTAAATGACGTCGTGATGTCATTGCGCGGTGACGTCATTACGTAATCAGGACGCACAATTGTGTCACTACATCAAACCTCAGCAAAAATATATTTTCTATGTTAATTTACATTTGTTCGTAAAATAATATAAATGCATAATGTAATGTTAAAATATAAATAGCTATTTTTATATACAACACTTTTGAACGATTACAAGTTTTGTTATTAGCTAGTAAACTAGTAAAACTACACATTCTGAGCAATTATCGTTTTAAGCAGTGTGTTAGTAGTCAGTATGCTACACTCTAAGAAAATAAATCACAGGTTTTTACCTGCATTTTAAATTACACATTGTATTTTGTGTTTCGGGTTACAACGGATAATAGCTAATTGATAATGTCCTGGAAAATTATTAGTACCTTTGCCATTTTTCTAGATATTTTTCTTACAGTGTACTAACTGATCAACAATCACAGGTACAAGCTACTAACAAGGTGTATCATAAATGAACAATTATTAAATTATTATTGTTATTATCAAATTGAACAACTGCAAATAGCAATAAGTTAATTCATGTGATGTATGTACTTCTAGGCATCTTTGGTTTCCTCTTTTTGTGTAATTTAGATGGAAAATGTGTGCCTTTTTATTGTTTGAGTCACTTATCAAAAGTTGCTAAAAGTAACCAAATAAAATTTAAAAATAGCTAAATTTGTTGCTAGGTGCTTTTGGAAGAAAAAGTTGCTAGGGTAGTCTGAAAAGTTGCTAAATTTAGCAACAAAATTGCTAAGTTGGCAACACTGTCAGTAACCTTTAACATTTCATTCTGTTATTGTAATTGGATGACAAATGCTTCATGAAAAAAAGTCAAGGCCTATATTTAACTTTGAAAATGCCCGTAGCCTACCCAGCAGGCAGTTGACCAAACTTAAACGAAGGAATGCGGTTGAAATTATGTCAGTAATTGTTGTCTCAGGCCGTTTATTGCTAAATGATTGCAAAAAAAGCTTAATTCATATTTATATTGTTCACTATCAACAAGATTCGATTTGCTAGATAAAAACAAACTTTAGCAGTGATTCATTCTACCTTGATCCATGATGATTCATCTGTGAAAAAATGTGCTAGTACAGAACAAGTTCATCCAGATTGTCCAGATAATCTGAAAGTGCAAAAAAAAAAAAAAATTGTAAAAATTAATGTCACAATGAAAAAAAAAAAAAGCTT